TGAACGTATTGGCAATTTTAAGAAAGCAAAAGGGTGAATTTCTGTAATGATTTTACAATTCTCCTGATGTAGTCATTAGCAATTAAAAAGCATTTACCTTGCAGTCCTGACACATGTGATGCTGTCCATCTAGGGATCAAATTCAACCAGCATCCCCCCCGGGCCCCCCCCCCCCCCATACTGGGTCAAACCAAAGGTCCACCTAGCCCACTATTCTGTCTGCCAACAGTGGCCAATGCCAGATGCCCCAGAGGGAGGGAACACAGCAGGTAATCATCACATGATCCCTCTCCTGTTATCCATTTCCAGACAAACACAGGCTAGGGACCCCATTCCTATCCATCCGACCTAATAGCCATTGATGGACCTAACCTCCATGAATCTATCTAGCTCTTTTTTTAACCCTGTTAAAGTCCTAGTCTTCACAACATCCTCTTGCAAGGAGTTCCACAGGATGACTGTGCACTGAGTGAAGAGAACCTTCCTTTTGTTTGTTTTAAATGTGCTGCCTATTAATTTCATTTGGTGATCCCTATATTCAAGATGTGGGTGTACCATGGTGTTGTATATAAGCAATAAGATACTTTCTGTCTTATTCTCTATCCCTTTTTTAATGATTTGTAACATTCTGTTTGCTTTTTTTGACTGCCGCTGCTCACTGAAGGTGCATCTACACTGCAAAACTATTTCGAAATAACTAGTGCTATTCCAAAATAATGTAGTCTGCGACTACACAGCCGGCAGTTATTTTGAGATAGTGTCAAAATACGGTCAAGCTAGAGGACTTCTGATTCTGACTCCTGTAACCCTCATTGTACGAAAGTAAGGGAAGTTGGAGGAAGAATGTGCTATTTCGAAATAAGTGCTGTGTAGATGCTCCCTATTTCGAAATAAGCTATTTATTTATTTATTTATTTTATTTAAAGGTAAGCCCTGCAGTGTAGACATACCCTGAGTGGATGTTTTCAGAGAACTATCCACAATAACTCCAAGATCTCTCTCTTGAGTAGCTGTAGCTCCATATACCCCATGAGCCTAAACAATAAAAAGCCTGGGACTAAACAATGAAATCCCCATCTATGCTCTGCTGACCCACTCATCATCTCAGCCTCAATTGCTTTCTACTATCCACAGCCCAGCTAGCTCTACCCATACCTGAACTCCCTCTTGGAACCCTTGAAAGCCACACTTTGGAGCAGGGTAGATAGGAATTTGCCATGAGCAGTCCAAGTAACTAGGGCAAACTCTTCAGGCCAAGTTCTGCCCTCATTTACATCCTTGAAGCCCCTGTGAAATCGATATGGCTGTGTGACTATTGAACCAAAGACATCCAGAGCTGAGGTGTGAGTTTCTGCAGCTGGAGCTAACGGACTAAATTCCATAGATGAGAGTTTTACCAGACTCACATCCTCTGAAGATCAGGCCCAGTGAGGGATACCTAATATACTCTGAAGAATGGATTACAGCTATTGTAGTGTTACCTGTGAAACAAATCTGGCCTCATCTGCTGAGCTAAATTCTATGATTGAAGTATGCTACATGGATGGTGTGAAGTGGCCAGAAAATAGGTGAACAGACCTGAGGCCAACCCCATTGAAAACAAATACTCACCAAGTTCAGTGTGAGGTTGTGTGTCAGAGCCACGCTTACAAATTATGGGCTCTATGCCACTCAATCCCTGCCCCCTTCCCACAGCTTCTGCTGGGGGGCCTGGAGCTTCCCTCTCCTCTGCACAACTTCTACTGGGGGTTCAGGGCTTCTCTGGGGCTGGCACAGAGCTGCAGAGGCTCGGGGATCCTCTCTTCCCACAGTCTGGCCGCAGAGAGTCCTCCCTAGCTGATTGCTGCTGGCCAAGAGGAGCACATGCGGGAGGTGGGAGAGGGCAGGGAGAAGCCCTGCAACAGATAAGAGAGAGCAGCCATAGGGAGGGGCAGGACAGGAACTGGCAGAGATGGTCAGGGCAGTCCTCAGTCCACAAGCACATGTAGCTGTGTAGGGACACTTGAGAATTTGGTGCCCCAAATTTTCAGATGTTCTACACAGTCATGTATTTCACGTACACCTAGAGACAGCCCTGCTGGGAAGAGAGAATCATCAAAAGGACAGGGTACTATTAAGGAAAACCCTCCTTTCCTTTTTGTCATAAAGTTCCTGGTTCAGTACTGGACAAAAGTGATGCTTTCTGTGATTTATTACCAGGGTTGCATCACTTTCAGTGGGCACAGGACTGGGCTCTATAAGTGCTGTGAATGACAAAATAGAGTAACTTGCCTCCACTTTATATGAGGAGGGGGGGCTACAGTGCACGGCTGGAACCTTCTGTTGATGAATCAACCATGTTACTCCTGGAGAACAGGTGTGTTCCCATGGGTAGAGCATAATGTGTAGCCAGGAGCCGTGGGTGCTTCTGCCAGCTCTGTCACTAACTTGCAGCAGGGCCTTGGGCAAAGCATTTAATCAACTAGCCTCAGATTATCTGTGTGCAAAGCAGGATGCTTGCTCTAAATGCCTATCCGAATTGGCAAAAAGCTTCCATGGGGATCTAGGAATGCAGAATGTGAAACTCACATAGCCTATCATTCTGAAGGGCTACGTCTAGACTGGCATGATTTTCTGCAAATGCTTTTAATGGAAAAACTTTTCCATTAAAAGCATTTGCGGAAAAGAGCGTCTAGATTGGCACAGACGCTTTTCCTCAAAAGCACTTTTTGCAGAAAAGCATCCGTGCCAATCTAGACACGGTTTTGTGCAAGAAAGCCCCGATCGCCATCGGGGCTTTTTTGCGCAAAACAGTTTTCAGCTGTCTACACTGGCTCTTTTGCGCAAAAGCATTTCCGGAAAAGGGCTTTTGCCTGAACGGGAACGTCAAAGCATTTGCGCAAGAAGCACTGATTTCGGACAGTAGAACGTCAGTGCTTTTGCACAAAATCAAGCGGCCAGCATAGACAGCTGGCAAGTTTTTGCGCAAAAGCGACCACTTTTGCAGAAAAACTTGCCAGTCTAGACGCAGCCAAGGTGTAAGAAGCAGTTCTCATGACAGCCTAGTGTGCTAGGAGGGGCACAGCTGTGTAGGAAACTGACACTGAAGGGCCTCCTCAAACTGTTGCACCAGTGCATCAGAGAGACATTTAGGTAGCAGTCCCTCAATGCAGAGACATTAATCTACTCCAGCTTTTTTGCTGCTTAAGTTTACCAGCACACAGAGGCAGCAGCTGATGAACTAAGTATCTCTGCACTAAGGTGCCAGCACATCAAGGGCTGCCTATGTAACTGCTGTGTTGGTGCACTGGGGAGCTAGGGTAACAGTGCTGTGGAGCCCTTCATTCACAGGTTCCTCCCCTAATCCATGTCACCCACAGCATTCTGTCCCATTCTCTCTACAAAGCCCAATCAGCAACACGTGCCTCATCCCCCACTATTCTCCTCCCCAGCTCCCCAGACTGTAGAACTCCCTAACAATGCATAACACTGTTCAATCAATGGAACAAGAAAGGACAATCTGGTAGTACATTTCATTTGCACAAAACTGTCATTAAGAAATTGCTTCTGAGTGTAGCCTATTTTCATTCTTTCCTTGGCACAATTTCCAACAAGGCTGGGGCTTGCTGGTCTGATCATCTTACTCCCTCTGCTGGACTTTTTTTTAAACATAGATTTGAGACGTGATTTTTGTGGGTGCCCAGTGGACCTCCTAGGCCTAGGGCACCAAAGAAGGCATCCTGAGCCCATTGATCTGGGAGACGGTTCTACTTCTGTACCATGATTCCTGCAGCAGGTAAAGCTATGTGGGAAATCTTGTTTATAAGGCCCTGTTGTCAGCTGGTCACCACTATTTGAAAATCTCATATTGTTGGGATGGAAAGTGTCTGTACCTGGTCTGAACCCAGTGATGAATTCTTCGGAGTAACAGCTGGTCGGTGAGTTATATTCTTCTTCCATTGTTACCAACTTTACTATTTTAATTTCTGCTTGCATTTAACTCAGAATAGCTAAACTCCAACACTTGTGCTCTGTGCTCCAGCCTGCCCAAGCTTTGCCCCATCCCCTTGGCAACACTGATGTATCATTCTAAATATCAGATGAGACAGTAGGAGAGTGACTAGCCCAGATCTCTCTCTGTGTTTCAGTTCCCCAGATGCAAAATGGGGATGATAGCACTCCTGTTTAGCTCAAGCCTCTTGTGCGGATAAATGCATTAAATATGGGATGATGCTGAGTTACTATGGTATTGGGGGCCATATAGGTCACCTTGATTATATATGTTCTTGGGAGCTCAGGGTGCATTAAATCTCTTTGCTGCATGAATGATCCTTCTAGTATTTTTAAGCAGTGCCTCTCGGCACAACTCCTCCTGTGTGTTTGAAACTTTGTGCTACAATCGTTATCTTTATTATAATGTGTACAAATTGAAAAAAGGGTTAGTTTCATTGTATTCAATGCATATTTAAAGTACTGACTATACTTCGTACATGTTTTGAACTATATTAACATATGTTTATTTGAGGGGTTTTTTATTTCCAAAGTGCAGTGGAATGTATGAATCGTTCTAATACACAGAACTGATAAGTCAAATGTGTAATAAACAAAACATTGTGGAAGTTTTTGCCATGTCTATAAAAATGATTCCTCTGAAAGAAATATTGCTGCTGGCTCAACGTTATGCAAGACACCTGTGCTCAAGAGCTGTCATTTATTAAAGTATAGTTGTCAGAGTTAATTGTTCACTGTTGCCTTAAAATGTGCATTTCCTGATGAGACCAAAAACACCAGCATGCTTTTGACAGGTTTTGTTATATAATCAGTAATTACCAGCATAAACCCTCCCGAGCTACTGTGAATAAGAGATAATTACATAATCAGATTGCCCATTTGCAATCTCACCCAAAATATTGATTGTGGTCAATGTTCCCTCTAATCTTTTCCATTCATGTGCGTATTTTTCCATTTATGTGTAGAATAAATTTTATGTGCACCAAGGCATGTGTGAATGGGCACCACCAGTGAAAACAAAACCTAGCTGTGGGCACTCTACTAATCAGCTGGGCAGCATTTGAATTTTTCCTGAGCAGCCGCACAAGCACACAGCTTAGAGGTAACAGATTGTGGACCTTTTGGCCTCAGGCTGAAGAGGGTGGAAGCCAGCTTGGGCAGTAGGTGCATGTGTACAGTAACCATACCTCAAATAGCATCTCCTTCCATTCATCTATTAGTGCCACAGCAAATATTTTTAACATACAGTGTTTTTATACAACCTAGTACTCTATACAATATATACACACACTCTTGTTTAGTATTGTACACAATTAAGGAATAATTTAGCAATGTGCAGTATTGTGTGTTTCACTGTACATTACTGGTGCAAAGTCTGCAGTCTGCATGGTCAGGGTCACTTGTACACTGAAGCAGCTGAACTGGCCTGTGATAAGACAAAAAGCAAACCCAAACATTAATGGCTGCTTTGTATGTATAGGGTCATAACTCTGCTGATCATAAAAAGAAGTTATCAAGTGACACATGGAAGTCAAAGTACATTTTACGTAGTTCTAAGGCCATGAGATCTTTTAAGGTAATATAAATTATTGCACAGACACAACTGGGATGTTTTCTCCTTGTAGCAGTCTTAAACCATTGAGGTTTTATTCATCACACATCTGAATAATTTTCAAGTAGACTTCTGGGTTTGAAATTTCTTCACAGAACCAATTTTTTGAGTTATTGCCAGAACATCATGTTGACTGGCTGTAAAAAATAAGAAGCATCTGTCCATGCTCTAAATTATGGAAAGCCAAATGTGCAGCTTATATAAATCAGCAAAGCTCCATTTACACTGGCTTCAGTGGAGCAATGTGGAGTGCCAGCAGCTGACTGGCCTGAAGAGTATTTTCAATGTACAATAAAACATTATCTTGCCCCCATTTCTAAAGTGGTCTAGTTACATGTCAGCATTGCTTCGCACAGTTGATTATTATTGACTGAGTTCTTACAGAAGCCCTAAATCATTGTTTTTCACCTTGGGGTTCCACTTATGTAACACACCAGTGAGTGTGTTACAGTTGCACTTCTCTGCAAGGGATAGGAGTTGTTACAGCCCCCAACTAAGGATGTTAAGAAACGGTTAATTGACTAATCGATTAGTTGATAAGGGAAGGTGCTCTGTCCCAGCTCATACCAGTCCAGGAGCTACCCCTGCTGCGGCTCTGCAGTTTAAATGTTGTAGGAACTGGGCACGCAGGCAGCCCGGCTCCTACTACATTTAAACTGCAGAGCTGCAGTGGGGGAAGGTCCTGGACTGGTATGCAGGCAGAGGCTACTTTGTGGCAACCTCCCTTACCACCACCATACTCCCTGGCGGCTGCTCCTCTAACAGAGGCTGGTGGGGTGGAACACCACCGCAGAGACGGTGCTGGGGGGGACTGGCTTTTTAAGCCGGCTCCCCCCAGCACCAGCTCCTGTTTCCCTCCCCTTGCTGCCTCTGATAGAGAAGCACTAAGGTACTAAGGTGTGTGTGTGGCCTGGGGAGAGAAGCGAGTAGTCGAGTATTCAGCTTGACTGCTTACATCCTTACCTACAGATCCTTGGCCCTTTAGTACCACACATTATTGGTTCAATCCCCAGTGTTGGCCAGGGTTACATTTACATGAGAACAAAGTGGATGCAAAATATTAAGATTCTGATTTGGCACAAGTTTACATCACATTAGTATGTGTGTGTGGGGAGGTAGGGGGTGCAGGGTGCACATGAATCTGGCCCAATAATGCATATTACAAAGAGGAAGAAATGGCTTTGTCTTCCAGAGGTTAAAATCTTTGTATCAGATGTTGCATTTGCTCAGTCATCCTTCTTTGCAGGCCAACTTTTCCCTCAGTTAAAAGTGACTAAAATTAAAGTATAAAACTCCCAATAGTTTACTGAAATGTTTGTTTGCTCCAGAAATATTCTTGTTAACATACACTTTCCACTCAAAGGAAAGCTGTTCTCAATAAATACTATTCTTGTTGCTAGTTAACAACTTCACTGACAGGACAGCAGAGTCCCTACTAAAACTTGTTTCCTCTATTTAAATGACTCTGGATCAATGTTAGTCTTATCCTTGCTTCTTCCCCCCGCCAATGCCATGAGCCTCTGCAAATGGGTTTCACGTTACTTCCGTGTTCTTCTCATTGGCAACTGGGAGCAGTGCCCTATCAATGTGCCATTCCTTGTCAACAGCCAGGGTTGACTCTTGCAAGAATTGCCTATAATTCTTCCTTAAGATCCTGATAGGCACAGGTCTGAGATAGGGTTGCCCAACAGTGTTCCCTTGAAGCTGCAGGGCAGCACAGCTTCACAGGTGATTAATCATCTCCGCCCAGTCAGTCCACTCTGTGCATGAAGCCCTGAGCCTCTGACTGGACAGGGCTGATTAATCACTTGTGAAGCTGTGCTACTGCACAGCTTCCAAGGAACACTGGTTGCCAAACCTACAGGATTGCCCTGGTGTTTTCAGGAATTAAAGATCAATCGTTCATTTGAGATTATGTGCGTTGAAACTTCCATGGCTATATCCAACCACAACTGGTAACCTAGTCTGAGGAGAGAATCAGTAGAGGCAGAAAAAAACTGTAGGACCGCGATGCATTCTCTATCTAGTAGGCGTACACTACAAACATGCTGCTGTGTCTCCATGGGAAGTGATCAGGTGGTTCCTGGAAAATCTCCCACCTTCCCACCATAATTCCATGTAGTTGGTTGCAAGCAGTTGCATTGTTCAGGCAGCAGCAGCTCTGAGTGGTGCCAATGGATCCCCACTCTCAGCATGCAGCCTTCTTTTGAGTAAGGAAATGGGGAAGGCAATCATAATAATTAATAATACTTGGCACTTTTAAATCTCAGGCAAATCCTCACCAAACACAGCAGATCTAAACAGTCAACCAGCAAAAAAGGAAGCAAATTCTGGAGTCAGAAGCTAACTACTGAAAATTCAATGCCCCTAGCAGCTCAGATCTTGGCATTCTGGCAAATGGGAGCACATCACTTGTTCTCAGTTGCCATGGCAGAACGCTAGGAGAGGGACTGACTTTAGTAGCGAGGACTGAACTGCAGGGGACTTGAAAGATGAACACCAGCAACTTCAACTTGCCTAGGAGTGAATAGCAAACTAGGGCAGTCTTTCGAGCAGAGGTGTAATATTATGAGTTCTATGATGGCATCAGACTTACGCCACTGGTGTTGTTTTCACACTGGCCGCTGATACATCAACATGATCCATTTCCTTCATAAAACATTCTGATTAGGAGAGGAAACAGCCTAATATTACACAAGAAGACTCCCAAAATAAAACCCAAAGCAAATAATTACCTATAATTGTCCTCACAGGAGACACTCAAATTTCGTTCCTCCAAGATGCTTGTTAACTTTGTTATGGAGTGCCCCACGCAGGACTCTCTAAAAGAAAAACCATAGGTTGTTACATGTATCCTGCATGGGTGTGACACAGGTGGATTGTACACTATGCTGCCTCATACTGACTGCATACACTGTTAAATGTATTTGAAGGGCAAAGAATAGTTTTAGACCTCACTACTGCCAGCTAATCTGTGCCAACGAGCCCCAATACCTCTGTGCATTTCAATATATTTAGTGAATCCTTGGGTGGTGTTAGGGTCTGATCACATGGAGCAGGGCCTTACCGAATAGAATTTTAGCATGATCATCACTCACTCCTGCAAAAAACGTCTTTCTACAGGGGGATAACTGGGTTGTAAGAAATAATTCAGTCCCTCACACCAGCAAGGCATGCAGGTCGCAGAACTTCCCCATCCACAGTTGCTATTCCAGACCTTGTGCCCTACAGCTTCAGTGTGTCTGATGTAAGGCTCACTGAAGTCAATGGAAAGTGATGTGATATTCATGGATGTAGATCCTTACTCCAGACCCCTCTCCACAGCTGGCCATTCCACCTTCAGCTCCCTCTGTTTATCCCTCCCAAATGGTTTACATCACAGGCAGGGATCTATGCTGCTCCTCCCTAGCAAGGTGAATTCATCAGGGCTGGTTCTAATTCCTAGTGTGATATGGTCAGAGCACACCATTGCATACAAAGTAAGGCCAAACTGAAACAAAAACAAAACGGATGTTGACATTGGTACACAAAATACACAACTACAGCTACAAATTATCACTTTTTTTCCTATCCTAAACCCTGCAGACACCCAAATGCGCATATATCCATATCTAATATATACTCCTGCATAGGGCTGCCAGGCATCTGGTTTTTCAATCAGCACAGCTGGTCAAAAAGGAAACCCGGCAGCTTCAGTCAGCAGCACCAAACAGGATATTAAAAGTCTGGTCAGCAGTGTAGCAAGGGCCCAGGGTTAAGGCAGGCTCCCTATGTGCCCTGGCTCTGTGTGGCTCCCAGAAGTGGCTGCCAGGTCCCTGTGGCTCCTAGGCACTGGGTTAGCCAGGAACACGGAGACTCTTCCCTGAGTGCTAGTGCTACAGCTCCCTATGACTGAGAACCATGACCTACAGCTGCAAAAGCAGATCATGGATCCTCCGGGCCTCCCTGTGCCTAGAGGCCTCAGGGACTCGGCAGACACTTTCTGGGAGCTGCAGTAAGGGCTAGTGGGACAGTGCACCTCGAACTCCCTGGCCTAGCCTGGAGTCCAAACTCCCTCCTGGAGCCTGCAGTCCACTCCTCCCCCCCCCCCCCCACACACATCTCTACCCCATATCCCAGCCTGAAACCTTCTTGTACCCCAAACCCTTCATCCCTGGCCCTACCCCAGAGTCCACTTCCAGCCACAGCCCACACCCACTCCTGCACCCCAAACCCTCAATTGCAGCCCCCTCATTCACTCCAAACCCCTCATCCCTGCCCCCATCCTAGAGTTCATGTCCCACAGCCAGAGCCAGCTTCCCACCCCCACACTGCATCCCTCATTTCTAGCCCCACCCAGAGCCTGCACCCTCAGCCCAGGAGGGGAGAAGCGAAGTGGTGCTGGATGCCTCACACACACTCCCTGTCTGTAGCAGCACAGTCAGCTCTCCTGCACATTTTAAGGCTCCAGTGATGTGGAACTGAAGCCAGCGGTGGATGAGAGAAACACACCGGTGGGACAGAGCCTTAGAATAGAAGGAGATGAAAAGCGCAACCAAAACCCAACAATCCCTGTGGCCCAGACAGATCAGCGAGGTAGTAGCCCATGAGGGTCAAATGGATGACTGTCCAGCAAAACACAGGACACTTGACAGACTTTCCTGAAGCTGTGGCCTGACACAACATGTGAATCAAATCAACAATCACAGAGCTGACATGTCAGAGATGTTACCAGGAGAGCAAAGGGGAAACTGCTGTGAACCTGCCAGAGGGGCCTCAGCCTAGAAGGAAAGCGTGACTCCGGAAGGGCTGAGCAGGCTCCCAGAACATGAGACAGGAGTTGCTCTGTCTCTGC